ACCAAGTATTTGTAGGTAAACGCTAAGTTCTACAGAACTAATATTGCATAAAATATCAAGGTTTCATGGTTAAAAAGAAAAAGCGCTAACGATAAATACAATTTTTGTTGTATCCTAATGAGTAGAAAAAAAAAAACTATTTCTGACGTTTCATGACTTAATGTAAGCTACTTCTTCAGAGTGAATAAAGTCATTAAGTGATATATTTTTTAAAGTTTGGATAGTTATAATCTTGAGAACCCATGTAATAGCCTCAAATTATCAAAAACAATTTTACATTCTGATAAGTCTTGCGGATTGAACTCTATATTCGTCTCCTAAGCTATTCTGCAACCCCCAAACTAGAACTAGACAGCGACCTGAACACGAGAGAGAGCTCTCAAAGTATGCGAGAAGTAGTTTACTCCAAGGTTCATTTTAATACAGAAAATACAGGGTTTTTATAGTATTTTAAATGCCCTTGGGTTGCTAGAACATTCTGGAAAAGCTACTAAACATAGTAGCAGTGTAGCAGCCAACCAATCAGAGCCTCTGCATGAGACGATTCGCTTCCTTGATATTTTCGGCAAAAACTCCAAGTGAACGCTGATTGGATGGAACGCATCTTAGTGTTTCCTGATGCTTGCTTGTCTTTTGCAAGCAATTTTCTGGATCACCCCAACACATTCAATATCTGTATGTAACTTCAGTAAACGGCTAATTGTATATAAATCCGTACTGTCGTGGATACGCACTGCTAAGGAGTCCCACAATAAGACGAAACGGCCGTCCAGTGCTTCCAAGTTTTCCATGGTAGTGATCTAGCTTCAAATAACTCATGACCTCAACCATTGAAACTTTAGTATTTTGTTGACTTGTTTACATATTACTAGAAAGTCTGAATATGGTTTCGAAACTTCAGAAAATTCTTTCAAGTAAATACTTATTTTACCATTAAAATTTGGGCTTGACGATATTGACATGGTTATGGAACATGATGAATGTTATTTGGATCTGGTATAGAGACTTGTATAAATACTTATTAGGTATTCTAATAATGGGAAACAACACATCTTTTGCTTCATAATTTTCATTATTTGTAATGTAAATTACTTTCGAAATGTTTCAGTTCTAATGTTCCTTATCATATTAGGCAATTTAATCATTTCTCCCTTTGTTATTTTATTCAATAATTCGAAGACCCAGTAAAACATTTTATTTATCTGACAATTTGGCCTTTCAAAAACTCTTATAAATAATCTAGTCATTATTTTCATAGTAAGTCTATATATATATCATGATTATGAATCAGCTAAATATATTAGCTTATATATAGCTAAGAGAAAATACCAATAAAGTATAGTATAGTTTAGTATACCGTAGAAATGATTACTTCTTAATTCGTGACAAACGAATTGTATAGAAAAGTAATAGTTCTCTGAGTATCTTACGATATTAAAGTGTACTCTTGATGGGATCCGCGTGACTATCGTAACCAATGGTTGGAGACTCTTGGTGACATGGCTCAGAATCGATCACAATGGTGTAGGTTTATACACTCTCTGTCTTCTCTTAAAATAAGAGATTAAAATCGCTTCATATCTTTCTTCCTACGAACTAATTCTTTCTTCCTGTACTAATTCCTTATATGCAATCTTTCTTTTATATATTACCTTTTATATATTAACTACTTCTAGGAATGCGATGTTCATCTTGTTGTGTTAATGAGGTATGGCAACTTGGACTGATGCATATATGTGCCTGGTCCTACGTTGTAGCTGACTGACTGACTGTACTCTTGATGGAACTATGTTCATTTTTATTAGATACAGTAACATTATCGTGTACTAATTGGATTCAATTGATAAACTCTTGTACTTTATTTTGATACTTGTGAAAATTCTTTAGAGTGTGTCAGTTTTTCTCTTAAATTTTACTTATCCCAGTCAAGTTTTGCTATAATGAATGCATAATTTCCAACAGAATGTTTTACTATGAATGGGGATTATTATTTGTTTATACCTGTTACTCCCAATGGAACATTCGTTGCCAACTAGCATTCTCCAACTCAATCTATCCTAGGCCTTCCTTTCTAGTTCTATCCAATTATTGTTCATTCTTCTGGTGTCTGTCTCCGTTTCTCGGCGTAATGTGCTCTTTTGTCTTCAACTTCTCCCTTGACATTGAGGATTCCATGTGAGGGTTTGGCTTGTGACGCAGTTGGGTACTTTCCTCAATGTGTGTCCTATCTACTTCCAGCACTTCTTCCTGATTTCTTCCTCCGCTAGGATCTGATTTGTTCTCTCCCATAGTAGGTTGTTGCTGATAGTGTCTGGCCAACGGATCCGAAGTATTTTGTGTAGACAACTGTTAATAAACACTTATATTTTCTGAATGATTGCTTTCGTAGTTCTCCAAGTTTCCAACCCAATCAGTAGAACTCATTCGACATTTGTAATGAAAATTCTGACTTTGATGTTGTCTGACAGACAGTTGTTTTGAATTCCAGATGTTCTTCAGTTGTAAGTGGAGATTATTAGTAATAAAAAAATTGAAACTGTTTTAATCTATATTTTAAAGTTCCTAGTAGTGTTAAATCCCTTCTGATTTCAGAGTTAAACTCGAAAAAATCTAAATTTTGATTATTGTTTTGTATATACATTGGGGTTGGATATCATTGTTTTGTGTATTGTTCTTTAATTGGTATTAACCACTTCTAATTTATGTCATATTAGAATGAAAGAAACCTAGTCTATTTAAATCCACATTGTAATAACGGAATTCTTCATAGTTTACTCATCTTTTGAATAAAATATTAATCATTAACTGACATCGCTTAAAAAATTAATGAAAAGAAAGAAATGTTTAATAGCTGATTTTGTGTGTGATCAAATTCAGACTAGATCAATGTGTTTTAGGCTTTCAGTAATTCTCCAGCTATTGAGATCAGTAAAAAAACCTATTAGACAATCACTGAAAATAGGAAATACCGAGAAACGGTTTGGTACTTCTCAGAATTGCATCTGCCGAAGGTAATAGAAGATGTTTGCACTCTATTGCGAATTGATTGTTGTCAGACATGAAAATCAATGAATGTCAACTCAATAGTCTGAAGGTTAAAGTCTCACTATAAGATGTAGAAGTTTTGAGTTCGATGAGAAGTCCTGGATACTCACTTATGAAGAGTTCTCTACCACAATGAAACAGCTGTTTAGTGCTTCTTAGTTTTCAATAGATGTCTAGTTTAGATTGGATTGTGATCTGAATAACATTCAATTCTCTAACTAAATTCAGTTGATAATAAAAACTTACTTCAAATGAAATCACCTATCTACATTATAAATTTTTAGTAGACAACCATTTGAAATCATAGGTCCTGGGTTCGAATCTCGCGGGGTGCGGGATCGTGAGTGCGCACTGTTAAGGAGCTCCATACTAGAACGAAACGGCCATCCAGTGCTTCCAGGTTTTCCATAGTGATCTAGCTTCAATTGACTCATGATTTCAATCTGTGAAATTTCTAAAATCTTCACAAACCCCTTCTGATAAATATATAATTAATTTATGATTTATAACTATTAGTTACATATACCTTTTGTTTTTCTGGGAACGTTTCTTTTTGTCTAGTGATATCCGCCTTATTTCCTTATCCCTCCACCATCTACACTAACCATCTTTTCTTCATCAATTATTATATCTTCACATGATTTACCTATTTTATGATAACATGAGGTATTTGATAATCGCTGTTTCGAATGATCAATTTATCTACTTATATCTTTCTTCTCTTGGATAATTTACAATGTTGATGATGATAAGTATATATATATGGAATGCTTATAATTAGAGCGATGATGATGTTGTTGTTGTTGCTGATGATGATGGTGATGGGGATGATGATAATGACGTTAGTATTGGGGATTAATGTAAAAAGAAAAAAATAATAATAAATAGATATTTTTATCTTCTCTTTTATGCAACCGCTTTTCAATGTTATTTTTGAAGTATCTGTCATGTTGTTACAATAGTCTATTAACCATCTAATATTATTAAACTCTGGTACATATATATATATATGTTTCTCATATCATAAGATATTATATGACATTCAATAACCACTCCTTCTGGGAATGAATCAAATACTTTCATTCAGTATGTTCACATTTGTAGACAACATTAATCTTATACAGTCTTATCACTGATAGAAATCAGAGTAATTAATTATTTAGTTTGTATTTGTAATTGTAAACTACTGTTTTCACCAATACAATATAGGTACAATACAATACAGTTCAATACAGTATACATATAATATAATCATGAAATGTTTGTCTTTAATTTGGTTAAACCAATATAGGAGAAAATAAATCAACATAAGAGAGAGAGAGAGTGTGTGTGTGTGTTACAAGTCAACATGAACGCAAGACTAAATTAGTTGTATAAACTTAATCGTTTCCGTTTTATTATACTTAAAAATCAAAACAAAATAATATGGAACTAAGTAACTATGGTAGTATGATTATATCAATATTATTATTATTATTATTATTATTATTATTATTATTATTTATTATGTATACATAATACCCCATGTATTTGTAATTTAAATACAAGTGATAGAATCTCTCTCTTTCTCTCATTCATCATAATGATCTGTTGAATATCCCTTTATTCTCTTTCTTTATTTTATTCAATGAATATAATTATTGAATTATGAATGAATGAATTAATTAATTACAATAGTTGAACATCATTTCATTAATAACAATAAAGAGTACATTTCAATTGAATTTGTTTAATCCTATCCCTCTCCCCCCGTGATTGGTTATTTTAAATTATTTATTAAACAATATAATTAACATTGTATAAATGTATAATTATTGAATGGTTTCATTGAAGTAAACAAATATACATACTACTCATAGTTTGAAAGAATCATTTTATGAAAGAATGAAATGGATCAAAGTAAAGATATTTTTTTTTTAAAAGAATAATCCTCATGTATTTTCTTTAATCATTGTTCATCTTGAATTCATATTCCGATCAGATTCATTTGACATTGTTGTAGTTGTTGATAAGGTTGGTGTAGCTGTAATAACAGTAGTAGTGTTAGTATTAGATGTAGTAGTAGTATTAACTGAATGTGGTATAACAATAATATCAGTAATATTTGAAAATTCCACCGGTGCTTCTAAATCATGTATTGGTTCACCTTTTTCATTCCAAAATGGTGATCTTACACGTTCACCTTTACGTTGTCTAAATGCCATTACACGAAAAGCATTATTTAAATAATCTCTTAATTTACCTAAAGCCATTGGTTCAGTAAAAAAATATCCTGAACCAATTGTAATTGTGCTTGACGTAATACAGCACTCATTACAATTGGGTCAATAGGTGCTTTACCACCGGAACCATTATAATTATGTGTAACTAAATAATGTAACTAAATAAACTTTGTAATAGACGTAAACATAAACGTGGTCCTAATTCATGTGGTTCACCACGTACCATTGTTAAACATTTACAATATGCCCATAATGGTAATGCAACAGATTGTACACCACCAATAAATATTTCACGTGGTTCATCAGGATTTAATACAACTACTGGACGATCAATTAAATTATTATTCGTATTGTTAGGATTATTATTATTATGTTGATGATGATTTCCACGTAAGTTTGATGCACAAGAAGACAATAATCCATTAGTATTGTTTTATATTGGTTTTCAGGAAATTGTAGATCAGTTAAGAAATTCGACTTTAATTTTTGATCTATTATTGATGTAAATGCTGGCGATGATGATGATGATGATGGTGTTGTTGTTGTAATTTGTGATCCTAAAGACAAATTTGACCAATGAGTATTAGGAAGATTTATTGTTGATCTACGAATAGCTTTCAATGCAGATGTTGTCATTATTGAATTGAAATGATTTGGTTTATTACATAAATGTAAACGATTATTAGATAATGAATAATTTTGTTGATATCTATTGAGGTTTAAACATTTTGTTTTAAGACGTCCAAATTTATTACCACGAAAACGTATAGACGATGATGGTGATGATGATGATGATGAAGATGTTGGCATTGTCGTTGGTGACGTTGATGATGATAAAGTGGATGATTTACGATTTGAATTCAATAAATCATTTGAGTTATATTCTGAACTTGACAAAAACATTGGTGAATATAATCGAGAGGATTTGTGCTAAATTAAAATATGGGAAAAATAATAAGAATATATAATTGATTATAAGTAGAACAAAATTTATAAAACGATAAAAATGCCGATTGTTATTATTATTTCAATGGTTGAGATCATGAGCCAGTTGAAGCTAGACCACTATCATGGAAAACCTGGAAGCACTGGATGGCCGTTTCGTCATATTGTGGGACTCTTCGGCAGTACACATCCACGATCCAGCCCCGCGAGACTTGAACCCAGGACCTATCAGTCCCGCACGCGAGCGCTCAACCACTAGACCACTGAGCTCGTCGGCATTCAACGGTGTTAATGTCTAACTTATTATTATTATTATTATCAATAATTAGCTTTGGAAGACAGAAAAAATTATCACCATATTAAAACACATCTATATGAACGAATAATATTCTTTTCAATAATTTCTCATCACGTTCTACAATTATATATCCAAATTAGTAATTCATAGAAATAGTCAAGTTCAAGGCAGAGTACATTATTTAAAAGTGTAACATGTGTATCAGTGATTGTTTGTCATATAAAATCAAATCGTAGATTGGTTAAAGTTAGACGTCAACACCGTTGGATGCCAACCAGCTCAGTGGTTTAGAGGTTAGGCGTTCGCACACGAGACCGAAGGTCCTGGGTTCGAATCCGGTGAGCGGGATTGTGGGTGCGCACTTTTGAGGAGTCCCATACTCGGATGAAACGTCCATCCAGTGCTTCCAGGTTTTCCGTGGTAGTCTAGCTTTGATCGACTCATGAACTCAGCAATCAAATGGTCAATGTTGGAATGAATAATGTGAGAGTGTTAACTTGAGTCAGTTTATAAGTGGAATGAAATTATGATATAAATGATCAGAATAAATATGGTCAACACGGGGTGAGAGAGAGAATAGTGTAATTACAAGTCGAAAATTACTTAATATGTAGAATAATACGAATTAGACATGAATTACTATATAGGGGTGGACGCTGAATAAATTTCTCAAAGCGTTTGCAGGGTTTTAATAATAATAATGATGGTGATAAGATGTGTGTATAGGTTGAAGTTATGAAAATGCAAAGAGGATGGCTGTATGAACATAAATCGAATAACGTCACAATATCATCAAAATGATTGATAACTGTGAGGGTTGTGGAGATTGCAACATCTTCATAGTTGAAGTCACCAGTTTAATTAAGCTTGACCGCTATTGAATAGTTGGAAGTATTGAATGGTCGCTTCGTCTAATTAACTAGGCCAGAATTTGGTTCAGATAAAAGGAACGGCTGGAAAAATTTCCTCTGAATGCAAAGCTTAGCTTTTTGATCCGAATAGCTATTACTTCAACCGTCTGACGGATTTTGGCAGATAGCTTTTAACACTATATATTATTCTAAATAATTGCTCCAAGTTGGCTTTACGGCACGTTAGTACCAAATGAGAGAAAATTAAGGTGTTAACAGTTTTAAATACACTAAGGGGGGTGCTCGCAAGCACGAAAATACGAATCGCTAGAACACTTCCCAATATCGCTTACCCTGTAAGATTAGTTGATCTGATAAGTACAGAAAGAGGTTACTAGTTTAGGTAATTTTTCTTTCAATCTTAGAGTGACCACCCGACGTGTAGAAAACATTGATTGTAGTTTACTTTCATTAAAGGTTCTTTGGATTACTCTGTGCAACTTTACTATGCCAATTTCACTGAGTGCATCGCCTCTAAATTGTAAGCGTATGTACAGGATGTTTTGCTCAAAGTCAGGTCTTTCTTTTCGCTCTTTCTTACTAAAAAGGTTTGTGTGGATTTTATAAAAGAACAGAGTCTTATGTGTTATTACCAAGAATTGTTTAGAGTGAGTTGGATTAATAGAACAAAATATTGATTTGTAATTCTGAAGATATTCAACCTTGACGTATAACTGCCATCGTTTATTTGAAGTTTATATAATGAAACGTCCTTAATCTGAAAGGGCTTATCTAAGAAGAAACATGAATTTCATCAAGATCTCAGATAAATTTTGTTACTATTTACACAACGAATCAACGGTATCTTATCATGAGTCAACAATCATTTATTAACAAACATATATTTTCAAGAACCAGGCTCACTAAAATATAAAATCTTACAATTTATAGTTCATTACCGTTATGCGAAATGTGTAGAAAGTGCTTTCTAATCCAAAATTAATAATAATTTAGTTTATGTGCTACGTTTAAGCACCAAACAATAATTACACAGACATTTTAATCGTCCACTAGATGTTATTCTATGAATTATGAAACTAGAAAGAATCTATTAGGTAACAATACAGTTAGAGCTATAGATTAACAATGATGTAGATACAGAGATCAAAGAATACTCATATAGTTGAAATACATTTTACAGTATTTAAAACATAGAAATGATTACAAAATGAGTAATATTAGGTCATTCTGACCAATCAGATTAGACATACCAAAATGATTAGATTGGTTATTGATTTATTTGAGAAGTTTTTGTAGTGTTTTGAAAGGTGTTTATCAGAGCTTATTAAAATATTGATTATTAACTGCGGGGTTTCCATTGATTTCTGTTGATCGTAAATATACTTAAGTAATTTAGAAATTATCTTAGTGATTCGACTTATGAATAATGGTTAAGAACATATTTGTAGATACGAATTAATTCAAAATACTGATTGTACTGTTTACTATTTTTATGAGTAATAATACAGTTAAATATATGCTGGCTCACTGGTCTAGAGGCTAAGCGTTCGCGTGCGAGACTGATAGATCCTGGGTTCGAGTCTCGCCAGGCGGAATCGTGGATGCGCACTGCTGAGGAGTCCCACAATAGGACGAAACGGCCATCCAGTGCTTTCACGTTTCCCATGGTAGTGGTCTAACTTCAATTGACTGATGATTTCAATTACTGAAATTAAAATTATATCTACAAAATCTCCTTCTGAAATATCTATATGTTACTTTCCAGATGACATTTCAGACTTTTTAGTAGAAGGTCAGTTTCCTTGACGTTATGAATACTGTTTATTAGCTGGTTACTGTCAACGAGCTTAGTTTAAGGGAATAAAAAATAACTCACACTGAGTTATGTAAACAAAGATGTTATTTGTTTGTATTGATTTTCTAAACTGAAGAATTATTTCAATCTATCAAGACCTGGATAACAGTTTCATCCTAATTTAACGATCTAGAACAATGCATACACGCGACTCTAACTTGGAATCCTGAAAGGAAGCGAAAAAGAGGAAGATCAAGGAACACATTACGTCGGGAAATAGAAGCGCATATGAAAAAAATGAATAACAACTGAAAAGTATTGCCCAGAACAGGGTTGGGTGGAGAGTGCTGGTGGGTGGCCTATACCCCTCCACGAGGAGTAACTGGCGTAAGTACACGCGACCCAAATAGGTCAAGACTTGAACGTTTACATTTTGTGGTTAAAACGATTAGTAAAGGCAAATAATATTATTTAGCAGCTTAGGTCAAATTAATTGGAAGAGCTTGATATCACGGCCCACTCATTCATTATTTACTGATATATACTTTTATGGATAGATTGTTGTTCTGTATAATGACAATCATTGTGTCTAAAAGGGAATCTAAAATGCTGGAGTTTAAAAATCAAAGTATAAAGTGTCAACAACTTGAAGCATTTCAATTTTAGAAATGTGTTTAGTGATCAAGTCTGTAGAAATCCGGTTACTAAAAAGCAATTCACTTATTCATCAGATTATATATAATGAGAAAAATATATTGATTTAATGGAACCTAATTGAATTAAATATTATAACTGGCAGACATAGTATTTAGTTGTAGCAGCAGCTGGATAGTTTGGTCGTGGGACTTTTATTGCTCTTATGAACAACATTATGTGAACAAACTTCGAGTGGAAGTCCTCTACCTGACTTCTGAGCAACCACAGATTTAAGGTCAACAAGAACCAATCAACAATCAGGTTTACAAAACAAGCTGTAAACCATATGTGGAGAAATTCAAACACTTCACTTCCACATAAAATTTGTGCTGATGATGTCGTTCAGAAGAACAATGAAAGCCCTATGACCAAACCATCTAGCTCCACCGAAATCATCCACCTTAACTTCAAATCTTCTCCACCATCTCAATATTGATGTGACTTTGGTAAATTATTTGTATTCTGCTTTAGTCACATTGACATTGATTTATGAAGCATCTTATAATTCGTATCAGAAGGGGTTTTGTGGAGATTGTAGTAATTTCAATAGTTGAGATCATGAGTCAGTTGAAGCTAGACCACCATGAAATACCTGGAAGCCCTGGATGGCCGTTTCGTCCTGGTACGGGACTCCTCAGCTGTGCTCATCCACGATCCCGCCTCCGGCGAGATTCGAACCCAGGACCTATCAGTCTCGCACGCGAGCCCTCAACCACTAGACCACTGAGCTCAGTAGTCATCTTATAATCGTTTAAAAATTGAGTGCAACTAAAAATATTTGTAAAGTAGTGTAAAGACAAACTGAAAAACAAACCTGAAAGTTAACATGATCATTCATCAGTAGATAGGAGTTTTAATTAATTGAATGTTTTATATATTTAATACTTTTGGCTAATTTTTATTCCAAGTGAAGTCAAATTTGAAAAATTTAGAAAGTGATTATATACTACTAATTAATATTCATTTAGATTTAATTAAAAATTCTTAACAAGAAAATAAACCGAGTTTTATCAGTGTAAATCTAATTGGTATGATAAACAAACAATCTTCAACTATGACATTTACGCTTAGAAAATTTAGTTGACTTAAGATCTCAACTACTGAAATTACTATAACGTCCACAAAAACTCCTTCTGATACTAATCAGTATATGCTCACTAGTGACTGAATTTAAGAGGTATTTTCTGGAGTTCTAGTGAGAAGCAATGACCAGTGGAGTTCAACCGGGTCTATTGTGAGATAATAGTAACTCACTGAAGACAATGATGGATAAGTCGCTCAATTTGGCGGATTAGTT